GACGGTTTATATGAATAGCTTCGCGGTTTCTTTGGCTGTTGTCGCGTTTCCATTTTTGTTAGGCGGTCGATGATGACCAACACACTGTCGTTGTCGCTAGCTCCAGCTGCCAGTCCTATGACAAAATCCATCGTCGCCTGTTGCCACGGTCGTTCAGGTGGCTCGACGGGCTGCAGTAACCCGGCTAGTTGTTGACGTCACGACTTCATCGCTTGGTGGTTTGGGCACATTGTCACGTAGAGCTGTATGTCCGTCAACATGTCGGGCAGTAGTAATTGCACAGTAGTAATTTCTGCGTCTTGTCGATGTTGCAATGCCCGGAGATGTTAGAGCGGCTGCCTTGGCAAGGGCAGTTGTCTGTGACCGCCAGAGTGAGGCCAAGCCGGAACCCCCGCGCCATCGCCAATTGGCCAGGTTACATCGAAAGGTCGGCCTGGGTAGAGAACAGACACACGTGCACTGACCTGGGTGAACTGCGCCGCTACCTTGGCTTGCAAATCACCAGGGACAGAGCCGCTCACACCATTGCACTAACCCAGTCACACATGGTGCAGCAAGTCCTTCAGCGGTTCGGGCGTCAGCACTCCACCCCACAGCACACTCCTCTTGCTGTTGACCATAGACTCAGTGTCCCTTTTCCCGACGAGCCCTTTGATTTCAGTGGTCCCTACGCAGAACAAGTGGGCTACCTCATGTACCTGATGACTTGTACTTGCTCAAACCTCGCCTTTCCTCTCAGCGTCCTTTCTCACTTTTTTGCGGCTTGGAGACACCGTCCTGTTCACTGGACGGCTGCTGTGAGAGTGGCGAAGTGCCTGGCGACTACATCAGGCATGGGGCTTGTGCTTGGAGGGACACAGCCAGTTGTTCTGACCGGTCACTGCGACTCTTCATACGTCGACGACGTGCAGACCCAGTGGTCTACTCAGGGGTACTGCTTCAGCTTATGCGCTGGAGCTGTTTCGTGGAGGTCTACTCGGTCGTCGTCTGTGGCACAGTCTAGCACAGGGGCAGAGATCTACGCTGGTGTCATGGCTGTGCAGGAACTGCGCTAGTTGACCTTCTTACTCACCGACCTTGGTGAGCGGGCTCTGTATCGACCTTGTTCGCTGACAACAATGCCATGATCCTTCTGTGTCGAGAGCCCCTATGATCAATCGGGGATGTCCAGTGCACCTCTGACATTCCGCTGTCTTTTACTCTAGCTGACTTATCCTATCCAAAGATCCTCTTCTTATTCTAACAAATTGCAGGTCCACTCAACCCCCATTTACCTTACGGGGGTACAGTAAGATGATAGGGTTTACTATGGCAGAACCCATGGTCATCGATTTGTACGTATTCCTTGCCTGCTCGATGCTCTTGGGTCTCGACAGAACGGCGACCCGCAGAAACATTTGAAAGTGGGAAGTGCGGAGTCTTCAGTGAAATCGAGTGTATAGTCCTGCATTAACAAGAGAGGAAAAGGGTACATTACAAGGTACTTGGTAAATGACAAATATGAATGACTGGAATGATTGATTATGGTTCACTCGGTCTTATGGCATCGTGCCCATTTCAAGCATCGTCATTCTAGACACTTAAACAGTACCAAAACAAAAATGAATAAAAAAGAAGTTGAATGGTCAAACATGTTCACATGCAATGCCATACCAACCACATGCAACGCCATACCACCCACATGCAACACCATGCCAACCACATGCAACACCATACCAACCACATGCAATGCCATACCAACCACATGCAACGCCATGCCAACCACATGCAACCCCATACCAACCACATGCAACGCCATACAACCACATGCAACCCCATACCAACCACATGCAACGCCATACCAACCACATGCAACCCCATACCAACCACATGCAACGCCATACCAACCACATGCAACGCCATACCAACCACATGCAACGCCATACCAACCACATGCAACGCCATACCAACCACATGCAACCCCATATTAACCACATGCAACCCCATACCAACCACATGCACGAGTCCAACTTGCTATCTGGCAGTCGCAACTAACGGGGATGCTTCAGCATCATCGTGCTGCGAACAATCTGTGGTTACGACCGGGACGTGCGACTCAGGTGGCCGCTCGAAGCGGCCAATGGACCATCAACTTCGCAACTTAGACCCGTAGTCATGCTCTCAAATGAAACACCATCGTGCTCTTTTTTGTTTTCTTCTTGTTTTTTTTTTTCTAACGGAGATGGAGGGGAGAGGGGGGGGTGGGAGAGGGGGGTGTGGGGGTTGAGGGGGCAGGGGGTCGGGAGGGAGGAAGTGAGAGGGGGTAGAGGGGAGGGGCAGAGGGGGGGGTTGCAGGGGCAGGGAAAAGGGAGGTAGGGTTGGGTTTTTGCAGGTCTGGTTAGTGTTCATTTGCCACCGCATCTATGGTTATTGAACTCCTGCTCCATGCCATACATCTTGCACTCCTCTTCACTCCTGCTTCCATGTTTGCTTTCAACCACCAACCTACTAGTTCCATTTGTCATTGTGTGTTGTGAGTCATTGGTATGTTCAGAACGTAGCCACAACACCAGGAAACCATTTCTTCAAGGAGAAAATCATTGGAAATAAAAAAATAAAAAAAAATCAAAGAACGGTACAAAGACAAACATGACAAGAATACAAATTGGGGCAAATGAACACATTTTTGACACGAAACAGGGATTGAACCTAACCAATTAAAGTTTGGCTCAAATGCTCATGCCCAGTCTCACGAGTAACAAGTGAGTGCGATACAGAGTAGGGGGCCACGCAGCCAACTTGGACTAGACTTGCGCAAAATATCGAACCCCTATTCGGTTCGACTCGAACCGCTCGAGTTGAGTCGAACAGGGATTGTTTTTTGGCCAAAAAGGTTTGGGGCAGACCTTCATGGTTCGACCCGATCATGGTCAACTGTTCGAGGTTGCTTATCCTGAAAAACACTCGAACCCATGTGACTATGGTGAATGGGGCCCATAAATACGAACCTGTTCGAGTTCGAGTGGAACAGATTCGACCTGAGCACACCAGTGTTCAACCACACACTCGAACACAGCAGTGTTCGAGTCCCACTGTTTGAGTTCGGTTTGACAGTAACAGATGTTGTAATGGGTTCGACTCAAACGTGTTGGATTTCGACCAAAGCTCTGGACGAGGCCATGGACGAGGCCATGGATGAGGCCATGGACATCCTCGCACACACACTTGCACTTACTCCCTGCCCACCATTGCTGCCACACACACACTTGCACTTACTCCCTGCCCACCATTGCTGCCACACACACACTTGCACTTACTCCCTGCCCACCATTGCTGCCACACACACACTTGCACTTACTCCCTGCCCACCATTGCTGCCACACACACACTTGCACTTACTCCCTGCCCACCATTGCTGCCACACACACACTTGCACTTACTCCCTGCCCACCATTGCTGCCACACACACACTTGCACTTACTCCCTGCCCACCATTGCTGCCACACACACACTTGCACTTACTCCCTGCCCACCATTGCTGCCACACACACACTTGCACTTACTCCCTGCCCACCATTGCTGCCACACACACACTTGCACTTACTCCCTGCCCACCATTGCTGCCACACACACACTTGCACTTACTCCCTGCCCACCATTGCTGCCACACACACACTTGCACTTACTCCCTGCCCACCATTGCTGCCACACACACACTTGCACTTACTCCCTGCCCACCATTGCTGCCACACACACACGCACTTACTCCCTGCCCACCATTGCTGCCACACACACACGCACTTACTCCCTGCCCACCATTGCTGCCACACACACACTTGCACTTACTCCATGCCCACCATTGCTGCCACACACACACTTGCACTTACTCCCTGCCCACCATTGCTGCCACACACACACTTGCACTTACTCCCTGCCCACCATTGCTGCCACACACACACGCACTTACTCCCTGCCCACCATTGCTGCCACACACAAACTTGCACTTACTCCTTGCCCATGTGCCGGGTGGCTGCTAGTCGGCTCCATAAGCCGGCAAGGGTGCTGCCAAGTTGGATGGTCCGACCCAAGTTGGATGGTCCGACCCCAGGACAGGACATCTATCCTCCCTTCCAATTTCTGTTCAGCTGCTCAATACCTACCTTAAGAAGGCCCGTTGCATACTCACAACCTCGTTTAGATTTCCTCACTGGCACCGTCTATTCTCTGCGCGTGGCTCAGGTAGCATTGTGCACAAAACAACCTCACCCATCGCCATTACTTTCCTACCTTGCACAGATAAGCACTGCAGAATCATACAACGTTTCCTTCACACAAAACTTGAACACTGAACTTCGTGATTTGTTCCCCTTTCATGCCCCATCAAATAACACCAGCTTACCTTGCCAAAGACACTGCCACCCCACCAGTTCATAACTCTGTTTTATGTTTGTACGAAATAAAAGCACCTTGGCATCACGTACCCATGTTAGCTCTTCGTTTGCCTCGACCTCCCTCCTTGTGAAAAACGCCACCTGCAATTCAAGGGGTGCAACCCAATGAAACCCCGGGCACAAGCACAGGTAGCAAGAACAAGCACGGTGGGCTGACATCCTTTACGTGCTCTCGCATTGATGCCACACACACAGTGATACGTTGACCGCCCCACTCACATGGTAGATGTTGTGGTCCGTGTGCTCTATCTCCACTGGCACGTTCACCAGGTTCGCATCTCCACACCTGTGGAACCATGTCAGAGTTGGGTTACAGAATGAACGGCAAGCGGGACGACTGAAGGGAGAAGCAGAATATGAGGTGGACACACATGGCCACAGACTGTGCTAAAATCGAAACCCAATTCACCCGCTTCGTCATGGTTCTTGGCGTGAGCCTCATGCTCACACATGTCCCATGGTGCACAGCATGGACATCGCTTACCCCCGTGCGTGATCATTCACATGCACCCCTGGCAACCACCATCATGCACCCCTGGCAACCACCATCATGTTTGCCCAACAACTCACTCATGGCTGACTTGACAAAACACTTATGGTTGAAGGGACGCGCAGGCCCATGAGGTACCTGTGGTTGACGAATCGCGCCACGTTGCCAAGCTTCGTGGCATCCAGGCACAGGGCCTCATCGTCAGTCAGACCCCCCTCCGCCGCCCAGTCCGCATCCAGGTAGATAGGGAAGGTGCCGCGCTGGTTCCTCGCCTGCTGCTGGTTGCGCTCGTCCATCTCAGTGTTGGTGACCACCTCGCCCGCATACTCAAACACAAACGCCCCCCGCGGCAGCCGCTCCAGCGTGCGCACCCCCCACCCCTTGCCCGCCGTCATGAACACCTGCCCATGCCCATGCCCGTGCCAGTGGCGGGTGCAGGGGAGGAGAACAGCATGCATGGCGGGGCGAAAGACAATGGTCAGAGGACGCCAACATGCTTCTCATTTACGTGGATTCTCAAGAGCAAACAACGGTTACGTGCTGTACGATGTGACTTCAAAACTTGTGCTGACTTGGGAGACATGGGTTGTGCTGACTTGGGAGACATGGGTTGTGCTGACTCGGGAGACATGGGTTGTGCTGACTCGGGAGACATGGGTTGTGCTGACTCGGGAGACATGGGTTGTGCTGACTCGGGAGACATGGGTTGTGCTGACTCGGGAGACATGGGTTGTGCTGACTCGGGAGACATGGGTTGTGCTGACTCGGGAGACATGGGTTGTGCTGACTCGGGAGACATGGGTTGTGCTGACTCGGGAGACATGGGTTGTGCTGACTCGGGAGACATGGGTTGTGCTGACTCGGGAGACATGGGTTGTGCTGACTCGGGAGACATGGGTTGTGCTGACTCGGGAGACATGGGTTGTGCTGACTCGGGAGACATGGGTTGTGCTGACTCGGGAGACATGGGTTGTGCTGACTCGGGAGACATGGGTTGTGCTGACTCGGGAGACATGGGTTGTGCTGACTCGGGAGACATGGGTTGTGCTGACTCGGGAGACATGGGTTGTGCTGACTCGGGAGACATGGGTTGTGCTGACTTGGGAGACATGGGTTGTGCTGACTTGGGAGACATGGGTTGTGCTGACTTGGGAGACATGGGTTGTGCTGACTTGGGAGACATGGGTTGTGCTCCGCTTGTAGCTTCCAGGCATGATGCTCCGCCATCCTCCTGACCCCGGGTTCCTTCTCCACATACGTCCACCTCCTCACTGCTATCCCGTTCCTCACCACTGCGGACAGGCCTGCCCCTATCCCCCCAAACAGCTCCACCAGGTGGATGGACTGTTGCCAATCACTCTGCTGCTGTGGCTTGTCCATCCCCTTCATTCTGGGTGCTCCTCCCAACCCTGGTGTCCCTCCCCGCTCCCCAGGCAGCAGCCCCCCCACGGCCTGGTACGCCCTCTTCGGCTCCACTTTCACAAACCGCATTGGCAGCTCTCTCAGTGGCCCCTCCTTTTTCCAGTACCTCGTCCTAAACTCGACCTTCTTCGTCCACGTGCATATTGTCATCCCTACCACATACACCAGCTCGGTGCCTACTAGCACATCAAAGTCTTCCGACTCAGAAATCCCACACTTCATGCGGATTTTGGTCTCATGCCCCCCCCCCCCCCCCCCCGGCAGCAGCGTCACTTCTATGGGCGTTCGGGTGCATGGCATCCACTTCGGCTCCCCCCCTTCCGCCGTCATTACCAACATCCCCTTTGCCACATGCCTCTCCTGCGCCAGCAATCCTAGCCTTTCAGCCATCCCTCTGCCCAACTTCACACTCTTTGCCCCTGTGTCTATGATGGCTGTCTTTACCTTCTCTCCCTCCACTTCCATGGCTCCCTTCTCCAGTAGTAGCACCGAGGTCTGGCACACCAGCCTCTCTTGGGGATGGCGTGCGGGGGCTTGCTCCAGGGCTGGCTCAGCTGGCTTCTCTCCCTTCACCTGTTCCTTCCTTCCCTGCCCCCGCCTGCCATCCTTGCCTCCGCTCCTCAGCCCCATCTCCTCCCTTCCTCTCCAAGCCATGAGGGCACACTGCACGTCCTGCTCCACCTCCTCCCCTTCCTCATCTCTAGCGTACATCCCTGCCTCTGCCTCCCCTCTCAGCCCGGTCGCCCTGAGCTGTGCCTGCAACCTACTAATCTGCCGCTGCAGCTCCTCCGGATGCCTCCTAATCCCCCCTTCTCTCTGGTAGCAACCTTCAGCTCATGCCCCCACTTCTTGCAGATTTCACACCTGGCTGCATCTGGGCACTCCCGCTTCCTGTGCCCTGGCTTCCCACACCCGTCACAGTTCTTGCAGTCCCTTCGCAGATGCCCTGGCTGCCCGCACCTGTGACATGTCCTGGTGTCAGACCCTGACTCCCCCCGTCCATCCGTCCTCCCTCCCCCTTCCGGTATTATTGCCGCCGCCCATGTTGGCCTCCGGCTTCTCTCCGCTGGCCTGGGGAGATAAGCCTCATATTTCCTCTGTGCGAGCTCCACCCTCTCTGCCAGATCGAACACCTCCTCCAGGCTTGCCTCCGCGCCCAGCTCATACACTCTCATCCTTAGCCCACCTCCTAAGGCCTCATCCAAGCCTCCCAGGAACTTGCTGATGAGCAGACTGTTATCCGTGCATCTCACGTCCTCCGCCACGTTAATCAATCTGTTGTAGTAGGTCAACAGTGACTCAGCCCGGCCCCTGCTGAATTCCTGGAATTCCCTTATACGCTCCGCCGTATGGCCAGGGAATTGCCGCTGCAGCTGCTCCAAAAATGCCTCCGTGGGGTCTTCCCCGTACCTCCCTGCCCTCCACAGCAATTCCTCCATCCTCATGCGGTACAGCGTCTCGGCCTCTCCCTCCAGGGTGTTTGGCAAGCTAAAAAAGAAGTCTACTGGGTCCATGTTGTGCCGATCGCAGCGGTACCGCACATTCCCCACCTGCATCAGGTGGTGCTTGAAGGTAGGCCCCGCGCGTTGGTCGCCCGAGAACCTGGTGGGCACTTCCACTCGCGGGGTGCTGGCGGCACCCACTCGCCCCTCTCCCCATGATTCGCTGGCTCCCCCTGGCCGACCCCTCTCCGCTCCCCTCACCCTTGCCCTCTGCATGCCTTCTCTGGCTTCTCGTGCCCGCTCCGCTCCGTGCGCCAGGGTTCCGCCCTCCGTTCTGCCCTCTTGGCGACTTCCTCCTGATTCGTGGCGCCCCTCCCTAAGCCCTCCCCACTCTTCCGCCCGTCCCCATTGTGGCGTCGGCGGCTCGCGCGCCTTTCGCCCCTCCCCCCTGCCCGTCTCGCGCAGCGGCCGCCTTTCTGGCGACGGTGACCAGGCATCTTCCATCCTGCTGCGCTGCTGGCGGCGTTCAGGTGAGTGCCCCTCCCCTCCGTACTCCTCCTTCCGCACGTGGCACCAGTTGGGCGAGCGGGTCCCGCCCTTGTCCCACTGCGCTCACTGACTCGGCCCCTTGGCCCCTAGGCCCCTCGGCCCCGCCCCTCGGCCCCTCGGCCCCTAGGCCCCAGGCCCCTCGGCCCCTTGGCCTCTCTGTCCCTGCTGCTACTACAGCTGCTATTGCTGCTACTGCTACTGCTACTGCTGCTCCTGCGTGCTGCACAGCTATGGCTTCGCTTAGGGTTCTCGCGTTCGATCGTGAACGCAGACCGGTTCAGTTTGACACGTGGCTCGACGACCTGCAGCTGTACCTACTGAGCGATTCTAAGGACAGTGTGTCGCTGTTTGACCTCGCGTCGGGTGCCGCTACTGCCCCTCCCGCCACAGCTGACAGTGCGACTCGCTCACAGTCGCTTACGCGTGACGCTGCTGCACGCTTAGCCATTCGCAACCACCTGCCGCTAGCCGAATGTGCTCACATTGGACAACACAAGACAGCACAGGCCCTGTACCACGCTGTAGTCACTCGCTACTCCTCGCCTGCCACTGCTGCGCTAGGCCGACTGCTACTGCCCTACCAGTTCCCCGAGCCGTCAGCTTTTGCCACAGTAGAGGACCTGGTTTCCCACCTGCGCACTAGCGACGCTCACTACCGAGCTACCGTCCCTGCTGAGTTCCTTGAGAGGAACCAGCCCCCGATGTTCATCACCCTCTACTTCATAGTCACTCGCCTCCCTGACTCTCTTCGCTCTGTCAGGGACCACTTTCTCTCCCTTGACCCCACCTCCCTCACTGTTGACCTCCTCGAGCAGCATCTACTCGCAGCTGAGACTAGTGCAGTTGCTGTAGGTGCTGCTCGTGGCACTTCGCGCCCGCCCTTCTTTGAGGGGTGCTCCCCCTCCCCCTTTGCCCCCTCTTACGCCTCTGCTGCTGCTGCAGACGTCTCTATTGCTGAGGACGTCAGGGCTGCTTCTGCTAGTGCAAAGCGCCGCAGCAGCAAGGGCAAGGGTGGCAGGGGTGGTGGAGGTGGCAGCGGTGGTGGTGGAGGTGGCAGCGGGAGTGGTGGTGGGGGCAGCGGTGGAGGTAGTGGAGGCAGTGGGGGTGGTGGCGGCGGTGGGACTGGTGGCGGGAGTGGGGGCTCTGGTGGCGGCGGTGGAGGCAGCGGTGGGAGTGGCGGTAGTGGAGGCGGTGGGACCGGAGGCAGTAGGACTGGACCTCGGCATGGAGGCCCTGGTGGTGGCCAGCGGCAGCAGCAGCAGCGTCGGAGCGAGACCCATTCGCCCCAGCAGCTCCGTGAGTGGTTGTTTCGGCGTGGGGCGTCTGGGGGTAGTGATAGCTGCCCGTATGTCATTCGCACGGGTGTTCGTGCTGGTTAGACATGCGGGAAGCTTCACACTCAGCACCGCTGCTTCTCCCGCCTTGACGACGCTTGGCGTGCTGAGTTTGGTGACAACGTCGAGCTCCCTCGCTGGGAAGATCTGCTTAGGTCTAGGATTGCTATCTTTGACCTAGATTTTGATGCTATTCTTTCTGCTATGTATGCTTTGTCTGTTAGTGCTGAGGGTGACTGTTACTGGTGTGTGCCGCCTGACCCAGGTATAGCTGCTGCTGCTCTAGGTGCTAGTGAGCCTAGTCCTCTCCCTGGTACTGCGCCTGCTCAGGCCTTGCACACCTTCACGTTGGACTCAAGCGCCTCGCGCTGTTTCTTTCGTGACAGCACCACTCTCACTCCTCTCCCTGCACCTGTCCCGGTCAGACTGGCTGACCCCTCTGGGGGCCCGGTCGTTGCCCGTTCCTCCACTGTCCTCTCGTGTCCGGCAGTTCTGTCCAGCTTCACCTTCCCTCGTTCTCTACGAACTTGGTGAGTACCGCTGCCCTCCAGGATGCGATGATCACTACCACCACTCATGGGGGTCAGCGTGTGTCGATCTGCACGTGCACACGGACAGGGCGTCACCTGGCTACGTTCACTCGTCAGCCAGGGTCGAGTCTGTACACACTGGCTACCGAGCCTCCTCGGCTAGCTGCGTCTGCTCAGGTGTCCGCATCAGGTCAGGTAGCCGCCTCTTGCTCGTGTCACCACCTCTGGCACCAGACTCTTCTGTGGCACCACCACCTGGGTCACCCCTCCCTGCCACGCCATCGTGGCATGCACTCCCGTCTTCTCGTCTCTGGTCTACCCTGGTCTTTGCCTCCCCTCCCGCCCTCGCCTGCCCCGCCCTGCCTTCCTTGCGTCGAGGGGCGGCAGCGCGCCGCTCCTCACTCCTCGTTGAGAAGATTTGAACAAGAAAAATGGATGAACTATGAAATGAAGTGAGTACAAATATGAAACCCTAATTGGTTGTACCCCCTATGGGATACCCCACTATAGCCTACACAACAGCATAAGCTATAATGTTCTGACACACCCCCATAGGCAAAGTGGGGGAGAACAAGGGGTCACAAGACCAGTCAAGCAAAGTAAAGCAAAGCAAGCTCAGGGTGGATCACAAAGTCACCACACAGTCCGAGCACAGGGTCAAGGCCACACGGCCAGTTCACATGCAAGAGTACACACATATATATAAAGCTAGACAAGCAAGAGCAGGTATATATATATGTGAGAGTACAGGCAAGGTCAAGAGGAGAGCAAGTGAGGCAAGACGGGCACAAGACCCAGCTGAGTGCAGAAGCGCTGATGATCACAAGGCGGAAGTGCCTTGGTGAAGACATCAGCAGTGTTGGCCTCAGAGGCCACGTACGC